ATGGGTTAGCCTGGTGATGGGTATTAAAGAGGGCACATTCTGCATGGAGCACTGGGTGTTATGCACAAACAATGAATCATGGAACAGTACATCAAAAACTAATGATGTAATGTATGGTGATTAACATAATAAAAAAATTTTTAAAAAAAGTAGAAAGAATGAGAAAATTAGAAAAGTCACTATTCTGCAACCCCTGAAGAAACAGTGGATCTAGACAATGTCATGGAACACTGCTAAATTATTAGGTGAGAAGTGAAGGGATCACCTCAACTCAGTGATCTTAAGTGGTGCAAGACAGAGTACCAGCACCACATATGAAATATTTTTAACCAGAAAAAAGGAACCCAAATCTAATCACGCTTCCAGCTCTATGGGTCTACAGGAAATTCGAGGGACATATCTACATGTTAAAGGAACCCAGGATACAGTCATCTTAATCCAGAATGTTGGGACAATCTACAAGATATCACCCAAGTCTTTAAACAAATAAATAAAACAGAACCCCAAAAGAGAGGAACTGTTACTGATTTTTAAAGATTACAAGACATAGCAATCAAATAAAATGTACAGATCTTATTTGGATCCTGACTGGAACAAGCCAACTGTAAAGAAGACATTTCTTAGACAATCAGAAAATATTAGATGATATTAAAGGATTATTAATATTGTTGGACAAAGAAACGATATTCCAGAAACATTAAAAGAAAAAAGTTGTGTCTGATAGCGATCACACTAAAGAACTCACAGAACAAATGTAATGGCCAATATTTGCTTCAAAATAGTCCAGAAAAATAAAGGACAGGGAAGGGAAAACTGAGATCAAAATCGCACAATGTTGGTAACTGATGAAACTGGGTGGTGGGTATTATAGGTTCTCTTGTAGTTTTGTGTAGGTCTGTAATTATTCTAGTCTATTTTTTTTCAAGATTTTATTTATTTATTTGTCAGAGAGAGAGCACAAGCAGGGGGAGCAGCAGACAGAGCAGGCAGAGAAGCAGGCTCCGCACTGAGCATGGAGCCCACCGTGGGACTCGATCCCAGGACCCTGGGATCATGACCTGAGCCGAAGGCAGCCACTTAACCAACTGAGCCACCCAGACATCCCTATTCTAGTTTATTTTTGTGTAGGTTTGAAAATTTCCTAAATATGATGAGGAATAATGTGTGCACCTTGTTTGGATTCTGATTCAAACAAACCCATTATAAAAGGGCACTTTGAGACAATGGGAGAAAATTGAACACGTACTGGACTTTAGTTATGGTAAAGAATTAATAATTTGGTTGAGTATGATTTTAGTATTATGGTTATTTTTTAAGTTGCTATTTAGTAGAGTGATATACTGAAGTATTCAGGGAAAAAATAAAATATATTTGGATTTTTTTTTTTTTTACAGAAACTTACATATGAGAATGACATCTGGGATTTGCTTAAAAATACCTCGGCAAAAATAAAAGTATAGAGGGGAAATAAATGAAACAAAAGTGTCAGAATGTTAATAACTACTGAATCGAATAAGTGATTAATAAACCTAATTCAAAATAATTTCATCCTAATATAATATAAACTCTAGGTGTCTTTGAATAATTCCACAGTAAAATATTTTTTTAAAGAATGACTTCTAATATGGCTTAAGAAAAAAATACTAAATATAACCAAGTAACTGGAAATTGCTTTAATTTTCTGAGGCTTACAGACAAATGAATAGATATACATATCTTGTAATATATATATATATATGCATAATTTAAAATAAGAAAAAAGAAAAAGAATGACATTATTTTGACAAAAAAGAAATGTATAAATTTAAAATACATTCAGATAATTGTGCAAATGAAGGATGCATTCATTAAAAGATTGCAAACCTGGGTAGGGAATATAGCAGGCATTCAATAAATGTTTCTGAATGAATGCTACTCTATCAATGATCGTTTTCCTCTGATATTATCTAGGAATGTTGGACATCTAAATTTCCATAACACTACAGTCAATGAATTTAAAGCTTTCTAATTTTGATATACCTCTGAAGATTAAACTTTATATTGAAGAAAATCTTTATCATAATAAAATCACTATTTAAGAACTAAGAAAGGACCCTAGATATAATACAATTCAACCTACTGTTGCACAGATAAGATGATGAGGCCCAGAGTAACAAAAAATACACCTCTATTTATACTCAAAGCATTTACTCACTTCATGAGACCCGAATTCTTCTTACTAAATGGTCCGATGATTTTAAACAGCAGCTCCACAACTCCATTTTTCCCTAAGGATACTGAATTCACAGCTAGGAGGCAGAGGAAAGGATGTAAAATGATTTTAAAACCTCAACAAGTAGAAATGTGTATTCTTGGTGATACAGAGCTGAAAACATACACAAATTCTTTAGAAGCCCCAAGCCCCTCATAAAGCCTACCTAGCCAATCACTTGAAAGGAAGATTGTTGTTTTTTTTGTTTTTTCTGGCTTTATTTATGACCTCGCAGGGAGATTATGAAAGAAGTTATATAAAACAACAAACTGTTACTTAAAAAAAAAAAAAAAGAGTTTTAAGTTACTCTGTTTTTTCTTCAATAATTTAAATACCAGGTCATGGAGATTCAAAGACAAAAACAGTGTGGGCCCTCAGAGAACACAGTATAGAGGAGAGTGACAAAAACAATAAACAAATAATTACTAAATTACTTTCTAAATAGATTAAGAGTTGCAGGCTATTTAGGTTACACCAGAATGAAGCCCCAAGTCCATAATGAAACTGAAGGTATCTCTGGAGAAACTGAGCCTGAGTTCAGTTTTTACCAATGAAGAGGAGCTAGCTAGGGCAGGAGCTGCTGTAAGGAAATGTCTCTGGAGACAGAGATAACATGGCAAACAGAACAGAGTCGGTGAACACCATGGGTATAAAGTTACACATTAAAACATACAGTATCAGACAGAAGCTTATCAATGGGAAGATGAGGTGGGAAAAGAAGGTAAACAAATTATAGAGCCCTAGAAGTTGTTTGTTCTTTCAACTACAGGGAATTGCCCGAAAGGAACAACCAATCAGACATGCATTTTAATATAGGTCAGATGTCACAGCACTGTGGGGAAGACAGATTTGAGAGACATGGTAGCAGGCTGTGGTCCAGGTGGTAGGTGATGAGGACCTTGGCTAAAGCAGCTGTGGAAAAAGAAGTAACAACTGTAGAGTTTCACACAGAATATGCAAACAATTACCAAATCAGGAAATTGTGTCTAATAATTTTCAACTCTGAACAAATTTATTTTAAAAATCATAGATAAACCATTTACCAGCCTTCTAGTGGTAAATTCAGTAAGATGCCACCAAAAATGTAAGCTAAAGTCTTGTATGATTTTAATTTCCTCTGTATCTATTTTTCCATTATCCCTTCTAATTTTATCTCTGTGTGGTCTTCCTTTTTCCTTAATTGGGGTATTCAATGGTTTATCTGTTTTATTTAGTTTTTAATTTTATTTGAGTATAGTTGACACACAATGTTACAGTAGTTTCAGGTGTGCAACTCAGTACTTTGACAAGTTTATACATTATGCTATGTTCACCACAAACATACTTACCATCTGTCCCATTATATCACTATTACAGTATTATTTTATTTTTAATCCAATCATTTCATTTCTTAAATCAACTGGGGCTTTTTTTCTAATGTATTCTTTTTCCCTCTACATTCCTCTGCTTTTCTTGTGTTTATTCTTCCCTTCCTAACTTCTTTGGTTAGATATCCAATTTATTCATTTCCTTCTATTCTTTTTAATTACATAAGTGTTAATTATTTAAGTGGTCAAAGCTATTTTCCTATAAGCTCACCTTCAGCCATACTGTCAAAGTATAAATACAGATAAATAATCATATACATACATAAAATTTTATACAAACACACACATACGTATATATATATACCCACATCTCTACCACTTTGAATACCATTATTCTTCAATGATATATTCTGCAATATCATGTACTCCCCACAACTTCAATTTCAGATGTCTTATTAACCACTCCAATCCCATAGTGGAAATAGAAAGAAATTTCATAGCACCTAGGTTTGGGACCTAGTATTAGAGAGTATATATGTGTGTGGGGAAACAATTTCTCCATGATCTCTCTTCTCTCCAGCTTCCTTGGAGGCTGTTGTACTATTTTTTTTTTCCTGTTCTGCTACTTCCCTATCGATTGCTGAAGATGATTAGCTCCAGGTGACTATGCTTCCACATGCCTTCCTTCTCAGCTTTCCTCTCATCTGTGAAAATCCAAATAGGCTCAGCAGTTTTTCCTGCCGATACCCTCCTATTCTTCCACATCTTTCCACAGGCCGTTACACATCCCCTTCACTACAAGCTTTTACAAACTGCAGGAAATGAGAATTCTCAAGATTTTGTCAACTCACCTTCTTACTCACATCACTTTTGTGGTGGTGGGGTTAGGAGTTACAAAGAGTCATATTACATATTCTCTTTTCTTGTCTACAATTTTTAGAACTTTATGGAGTTCAGGTACTTTTACATTTTCATTTTGTATAACCTGACAATGAGTTAACTGAAAGGTGCTCTAAAATACTTACAGTTGGCAGAATATACTCGTAAAAGCTGAAGACAAGGCAAAACCAAGCGATGATTCTGCAAATTCTGTTTGACCAAATTCAGGGTTATAGTCAGAGCTCCATTAATTCTAGCTTTCACTCCAAATTTTTTGTCTGTTTAAAAAAAATGAACAAACACAATTTATTCATGTATAACTTTTGAATGAAATGAAAATGTCATAAACTATATACACACATACACACTTTTTAGAATAAGCATTTTAACCAAATACTTCAAAGTTTAAAAGCTCATATGTATGCCACAAAGCAATGGCAGAACCCTTAAATAATCACTATTCTAAGAGTTTAGAGAATCATTTTAATCTATGTAGATAGCCAACTATAAACTGAACTTGGGTTCTAGTCCCAGGATGCCTTTCTCTGTTAACCTAATCTAAATCAGCTTTCTCCTTGTTTCAAATCCCATGTTTTCTCAATCTGTATTTTTTAACATTTTGCATGTCTTACTATTGTAATAATCAGTCCTATAATTTTTTATATCTCTTTTGGTCTTGACTAGATCATAAGCTTTTTAAGCATGGAGACTGTGCAATACAAATATGACTATTAATGAAAAGCAAACACATTTTACCTCCACGTTCCTCAAAGCATTCCCATCCATATCCCCTCCTTCCAGCTTCAACAATATACATCCTTTACACACATACACATGCAAGCACACACACAGCGACACACTTGTGATTCTGATATTTTTCTTCCTTTTTCCAATCTATGCAACAGAATTCCTCATGAATTTAGGATCCTCAATTTTGCAGGCCACTAGTTGACTGTAAAAAGCAGTCCATGAGGGGCGCCTGGGTGGCTCAGTCGTTAAGCGTCTGCCTTCGGCTCAGGTCATGATCCCAGGGTCCTGGAATCGAGCCCCGCCTTGGGCTCCCTACTCCGCGGGAAGCCTGCTTCTCCCTCTCCCACTCTCCCTGCTTGTGTTCCCTCTCTCGCTGTGTCTCTCTCTGTCAAATAAATAAATAAAATCTTAAAAAAAAAAA